GGAATACGCTGCCACCCTTTTGCATTCACTGCTGTCTAAAACATTTTCGTTTTCAAAGGAAGATTCCCATGACAGTATTCAATTTTTTTCGCAGAGCCATTCCTCATGTCTCCCTTATGACTTCCTTATGCAAATTGCATGGTCAAAAATGGCGCCTCTGTTTCTCGAGTGGTACAGTTAAAATTGTTTATCAGTAAGAATGAGAGAGTGATCGAGTCAGACCGTGGGTTTCAGGCGCGGATAGAATGCCCTATATAACCGGAAAACCACATCACAGAATCAAACTCGGCTTACATGAGAAGAAATTCATGTGGACTGAAATGGATATACTTACTCAAAGGCACAGTTCATGGAAAAACGATTCCTAGGATTTATCTATAGGATGAACATGTGACACCTAAAAATAGCCTGAGGGGCGCTGTCGGGTAGAAAAACGGCCAAGATAGGGATAGTAAGGGCCTCAAAAACTGGGCAAACAGTTTATCTATAGGATGAACATGTGACCCCTAAAAATAGCCTAAGAGGCGCTGTCGGGTAGAAAAACGGCCAAGATAGGGGTAGTAAGGGTCTCAAAAACTGGGTTAACAGACATACCACCCAAGGTGGGCAAGTTCTCAATAGTTGTAAAAGTCGTAGAGGTAGCACCGTTGACACCGCAGCCCACACCATGCACAGGTAGCTTATTGCAGCCAGCTGTACGCGCTGGCGAGCACGTTCGAACAACTCGTCCCTTCCATGCAGCTTTTCCGCAACATTGTGGTCCAACCCCTTATTTTACTACTTTTTCAAAGCCTTATATACCTTCGAACACACCGATTCTCGCGCTCCCTTCGCCTTTTTCGCACTATTCCAGACTATCACTTCCATATTACGTCTAAAGCCAGATACCCCGCCATTATCGTGAACTGCGCTTTGAATACTTTAAAGTAGCCGTACTCTGAGTTTGGTGTAGGGATACTCGGGTAACTTGGGTCGACGCGGTGAAACTAAGTCGCCGATGATAAGCTAAATTCAGCAAGCCAAACACGAGGACTCTAGTCCGTATCTAGAAGCTCTGAGGCTTTCTGAGACTGTGCTGCCTTTTAGATATTTGGGGTTCTAATTGAATATCTTTTTATAGCCTTTTTTGACTTTTCTGACCCATACCTGGAGTGTCGCGTCATCGTTCTCTACCTGCATTCACCCATTTAGGTACCGGAAACTACAGTTCACGATAGAAATGACTATGATATTTTCACAATGGCACGTACTTATCTAAAAATACAAAACTGTTAGAACTGTCTACTGCTGACGAAGCCTCCCAATAAAGGGTGTCAAACGATCTTCTACAGGCTAAATTAAATAGACAATGTACAAACACGTACACATGCAAGTTGAAGCATTTTTCTGATGAATGCCATCAAGTGATTGACTCAGGCTTCACGAAGACCTCATTCACGTACATCTATCCCTTTGATGAGACGCGAGATCTCTACCGGAATGGCGTGCCGTGCTGTCGTGTCGGAGTGTACAGTGCAAGGGTTAGATTTGAATTTTCAATGAAGATTATGGTAATTGGGCCGGAACCACTGCCGCGTGCCTGCCTGTACCGTACCGTGGCAGTTCACGAGTAATTTTATTTTTTAAAGTTGAAAAGCGGAAGTATTAGCTGAGTGTAATGCATCCATGGCAAAGAAAGAGAGAAAATTCGCCGACTTCGTGGGAAGAAGGCCCCTAGAAGTAGTGAAAATAGATGTTGTACGAGATTACCAGAACACAAATGACATGAAAGGGGTAAATTTCAGTTGTGGCAATTGCTTAAAAGCTGACCACATCAGCCAAAACTGTCCTCAACCTGCTTTCTACTGTCGCAATGGGACATGACAAGTTGTTTGTGCCTCCTACACGGGTTCCGCTGTGAATGTTGCAGCCTCTACACTGCCGTTCAAACCCGTCCGCCCCGCCTTTCGTGTGGCATACAGCCTAAACAATTTTCGTTCTCCACCTGAAAGCGCCACATATAGTATGCGAGGAAGCCAAAGATATCCTTGGGGATATCTCAAGTTTTCATTGTGAAATGTGTCTTTACGAATTAATGCTGCCACTCCTATGGTCTCATAATCTCCCATAAACTTATGAATGAATTAGTTCAGAAACAGGGACAAATTTCAAATTTCTCCGGTATTCTCGTTTTCTTCGCCTTTGGCATTTATTCTATATAAACTACTTGCCTTTCATAATCCTAGCACAAACACAAAAGCTAATCAAAAACTACTTTAGCAGCAAATAAAGCCTATTTTGTTCGAAATGGTGCAAACATCAGCTTCCGTACGAGCTGATCCCACAATGAGCTTATCCGAATTTGCCCTTTACTCTAGGTACCTGGTTAACCTTTGACAAGCCAGTGCTTTTTGATTCGAAAGCGGAGGGTGCATGGGAAGCGGAACCACCACACGGGGATCAAACTGCGGATCGATGCTCAGCTTTGTCATCCACCCTTGTGAGGGTTAGTCAATTGGTGCCTTACTCGCCTAGGACGATAGGAACACTGTGTAACTGTTCATAACAAGTGAAAGTGTACTGGAAGCCACATTGATGTCATCCACCTACTGCCATGAAAAGCCCTAGTCCAGCAGGCATCGCCACCTGTTACTACGGTTACTCGTAGGGACTGGATACAAAGCAACGCTCATTCACAAGTGACCACAAAAAGGTTTAAATTCCTGAATGGGTTTCCTTGCTAGGTCCTTTAATAGTGGACTAAATGCTTTGATGATGACATTTTATCTAGTCAGGAATAGCTCCATAGTGAAGCGCACGACAGCGAACCGATTGATGACTTTAGTAAGAATCACATGTGATTTGCATCTCTTCATTGCAATAACGTGCCGGTTGAACAGACGCCTACTATCACATTCCTTTAAGGCAGTTTTCATTAGAGACTGAATGGATGATAAGTCTCCTGTGGTTAGTTTCCTATGAATTAAGCCGATACGCAACCTAAACCCTAATGCTGATAGGTAGTGCCAGCAGGTAATACCGCACGATGAAGAGAATATCTACCTACCTAAAAACGACAGTGATTTTTTGAGATAGGCACTACTTACAGAGGAAGTTGAGGATTATCTCAAGAGTTGCCTAAAGATACCTAAAGAGGTACATTACTGCATTTTTTTGCGGGAAACTCGTACGAACCTCAACCTAAATATAAGAGGACAGCTTTGTACAAGTATAAACGCCCTTCCTTCCATAGCAGCGCACTATAACCCACAGCTAATGAAAACTGCCGTCAGGATGATGATTGCATGCGTCTTCAGACTATACCCCTACAGTACAACGTAACATATCAATCAAATTAACTCCACCTTTCAAATATGAGAACGCATCCAAACGATAACAACATAGCAACGACCCAGATAAACATCTGAAGATATTCACCTGGATTAAATATAAAAATCTCTTATGATGACCTCACAGAGGTCAAAATACACTTCACATAACATCTGCGGTACGTCCTATACATGGGTCAAGGCCAGAGATCGTGTCAGTAGGCGTTATGGAAGTTATGAAAGGGTAAAATGAATTGACAAAGAAATAACGTAACCCTACAGACAGAAATCAATGACCTAGACAACAGGGTTGATGAAAAAAGCAACTATCTTATCACTTCAAAGTAATTAGAAGCAGCAAAACAACTGAATTACAACACGACCACATTTACGTCAACTTCAGTGCTTCAGAGATGAACGGCCCGGTTCTTCCCATGCGACCATATCAAACGAATTCATCGAGACCGAGCACGCTTGGCGACTACTGTCGCTTAATTGTTTATCAGTGATACTTCCTAGTGCCAACTTAGAAGTCCACTTGAACTGAGCCTTGGGTTATGTGGTCCACCGGCCGACCTTCTTCATATCGTCGCCACATTGTGTGCAGCAGTGTTTCCATGTCTGTACAGTACTGCTTCACGTTGAACAACGTAGAAGTCGTCCGAGCCTTCCATACTTTTGCGCGGATTGCCGACAAACTGAAACAATATGCATTTTGTATGGCAGCTAAAGGGATGGCTAATCATATAATGGTGCTCCTCGTGATTGGCATCTTATTGCATGGAAAAAAAAAGAAGCGATATCATAAAAAAAACCACTACTGTTCACTCAGAATTTTTTACTTGAATTCAAACAGTTAGCTTAGGAGTAACGATTTTATATTACAAATAATCTCTCTGCAGTCCGGCGTACTATAGAGTTGATATCAGAATTTTCACTGACAGTGAACTTCATGATAGACGAAAACAGGGCAGCTTTCATGAGGACGTCATCTAGGGAGAGGCTAACCTACCCTAGGACTAATACCTTCTACGCCTCTACAATGTCAGTATGATACCTTCTCATCAGTAGCACTATGAATACGGACGTCTTCAATTCTAACACAAAGCGAAAGCTGCTAGGAGACGAAAGAGTGGAAACTGGTGCGAGTGCTGCCTCGTAACTCCGTAACTCAACCGTTGAAACGGTCATACAGGGATCTTCACAGCTAAATAAGTTGGCCCGAATCCAGTGAGCGTACGGTAGGTTTTGGCAAAGCAGAGTGGATGGTTGAAAATATCAAAATTGAGGAAATTGTGGTTTTTATCAATGGAGACCATTTCCAAAGGAGTTCAAGGGAGGGCTGATGCAACACGATGAATCGAGGCATTCTGATATGACTACGACAGTTATGAACAAAAACAAAACCATCAATCTCTCGTCCTCAGTGCCAGAATGTACGACTTCGATGATTCATTGTTATATGTGGTTCCGCCCGGCAACATACACGTCTCCAATATGTATAATTTCTTGTCGCCCCCATTCCTAGCCCTTCATAATCGCACATAAGCAGAGCCATGCACTCCCTCCATAGAAACCAAGCAGAAGTTTTATGCATGATTAAGCGCAGAATCACATGAAGCAATGGAAATGAAAGGGATGGAATGGTGAGGACAAGGAGCGGCAATTCAAATTAACGTGGGAAGAGGATTTGAGAGCGAAGTAAACAGTAAGTAAAGTCTCAAAATGGCAACGGCGATGTATGGAGCGCCCGCCATTCCCAGTACCAACCGTTTCATTGATACATGGACACAATATTAATGCACCCTGTAAGATTCTTCAAGGTATGCTACGGGATTTACCCTATTCGCCAATTATATGCCATAATCCTCAGATTCAAAAAAGACGCTCCACGAAATGAAACATCCCAATGGCATGGCAATATTGAACCCCTGCGACCACAGCCGTTGCCACAACACTTCAAACGTCGAAACGCAAGTGGCCATCGTCACCATGGCTGCCGACGAAGCCAATTTAGAGAGTGTCATGTTTTTCAGCGCTATATCTCTTGCCTATGAGATGGAAGCAGTTATAAGCTCCAAATAAAAACATGTCATAGGAGAAAGGAGAAATATTGGTTTACAGAAAGCGCACGTTGCGAGGCAATTGAACGCAAAGAACATTCGAAATCTAGCAAGTTGACGACAGTAAGAACTGCCTATAACCCCCGGGAGACCTAATATCTAATTAAGTAATGGGAACGGATAACTGATAAAGGCATTCTATGGCTCAATCCTTTTAGTCACGTCGATGCTCAATTAGCTTTGCACGGTTTATTAGAAGACAGGCCCTCTACATAATCTACTGTCTTATGCTGACTTGCAAGCTCATATACCGACTGCACAGCAGTCTTCTATAGACCATGATTGATTAACATTCGAACAAGCTGCGTCGAAATAAAGTATTAGATTTCTGAGAACGATCTTGTGAACATTTTCTCCCTTCCATAAAGAAGCGAAAGCACAAAGCTTACTTGAATCCATCTTAAGAGCATTAAAATGAACGTACTAGTTCTTATCCGTGCCGAGTTTCACAGCGATGTTAATGTAGTCCTCCCTACTTTCTGCCACAAGTTCTGGTACACCAAGAGCGTACAGTTGTGATGAAGCCACGCGAGAAGCGAGCGTTTCCACTAAAAGCAATGATTCGCGTTACTATCGATTGTACTCATAACCAAACGATTCGAGTTTACTGTAGAACTTGCAGGTGAAGAGCTGTGCACCTCGCTCTGAACAAATCGGAAAAAACACGTACATGGCATAGTAACCATTGGAGTTCCTGTCCATAAAATATCCATGCCAGTAGTATGACCATTACAAAGCGGCGTGTCCAAGCACACGTCCGCCAATTGACCTCTCCTAACATGTTCCTCCTGAATAATTTGATCATAATTCCCACAAAAAAAAGTTTTTTGAAAATGATCAAGATCTTTTCAAGTATGACCAGCAGAAAAATATAATTAAGAACCTGATTAGGAACATGAATCACTGACTGGTGCTAGTGCCGTAGAACTCATGGCAGATTATCGGTCAAAGGCAGAAATTTTGGTTCCCGCTCAATTCTCAAAATGCGCAGATGGCTTAAAATCTCCGACGAAAGCATTCAACAATGATACAGTAAACACTAAACAGGGCAACATTGTCAGTAAGGCTTAAGGAATGTTGCCAAGGTCTTCAGTACAAGCTCCCACTACCATCTGCTTCTATTCCTATTGATAATCCTTTTTATAACTTTATTAACGGTTAGTTCGAACTCCATACAGCCCGATCATGAAAACGAAGCTTAAAGAAAGGTAGCGATAGAGCAATAACAACCGAAAGTGCAATAAAAAGAAGCCGAACCTTAGCCGCAACATGGCTGAATACAATTCGTTTTGTGTCGATATCCCGTTCAGCACAATATTTATGTACGTGAGCTTCTCCATGGAATGGGAACCGAAGCAACCACAAAACACTACGTGGTACCTGCAAAAAAGCAGTTTACAGAACGACTTGAAGAAAAGTAGTCATGGTATGTGACTAAGGAAGATTGCAGTTTGCGTACATATCGAATATACCAAAAAATAATCTTGGTACCTGAATCGAATATATCTCACCCGTTTCAATATTTTGATCCACATGTCCAGCGTAGGTGGATCGATTTTGTACAATTGGTTGAAATTGCAGAAGACCACAGCATCTTCAGGCAAATTGTATTGTTGACGACTAGTCAGTAAGAGTGATTGTGGCACCTCTTCACCCGTGGCTGCTTTATGATGCATTTGAATCTGAAAACCGATTTAAGGGCTGAATGAGGAGGGGGAATTCTCATTACTTAAACACTTGTTCTAAATGAAACAGTTGGCTACCTGTGTTAGACCATTGTGAACATGAACACCATCCACCACACTACTTGCGATCAAACTTCCACCCATCATCTGTTTGAGAGGTTCCGTCGTTGGGACCTGAACGATACATTACTGAGGATCATACTCCAAAACAACGCCGTTCGTTTTCAAACAATAACTCACTTCTACGACTGGAACTACAACCTCGGTCTTAATCTTCTCCTTAGCAGGGCCGTAAACTACCTCAGTTTCTCTTATTGTGTGCTGAAGTAGTCAATTCTATCTATCGAGAAACAATGTTGCGGTTTAAGCATACAAGGTGAAAAGCACTTTTGTTCTCTGCAAAAGTCAAAATAAAGTCCAAAAATGGCAGCTGCCTCACCTTGACATCAGCTTTGCTCAAAAGTGGTTCAAGATTAGTTGCATTAACAACTGCGACATTGTCTCTTTCAGCGGGAGCCAACTTGTCCTAAATTTGAGCCTTTGACGAGTGAAGCCTTTCACGGTTTCTGAAGGAGCCTTGGAAAGAGCTCCAAATTTTCCTAAACAATAAAAAACTTCTTTCTCACCTTAAGTATAACGCGTTCAGTCAGGTGCTTCAACATTTGAGCGTGATCTCCAATGAAGAAAGTGTGCGGCATGTAGGCGAGCTAGATTGAAGAATTTGTAAAACGAATATTTTATTGAAAGAAAACGAAGGAAAGAACCTTCTCTGTGTAAGCGTGTGCAAGTCGAAGCGGAGATGTTACAGCGTCAGTGATAATGTAGTCCATGAAGGGTGCTCCAGAGGTACCAGGATATCCCAGCCACATAACCTGAACGTCGATTCAATGGATATCTCCAGGAAAAGACTCATTTATCTACAGAATCCTAACAGAGAAATTCAGAGAGAGAAAAAGCACATCCCACGAAAACAGATAAATATGTAGCTTTACTAAACTACAAGCCCTTCG